AATAATGCATGAAGAAAAGCAACAAGAGTGAGTGCTGTGAGACAGGGGCCCCCTTAGGGATTTCGGTTTCCTACTGTCATTGCAAAATGTGCACATTTTAAGCCGCTGCTTTGGTTTAAGTTTGTCAGCCTTCAGGGCCCCCTCCCCTCCTGGTGTGGGGCCCCAAGCAGTTGCCTGCCTCTGATGTCCCCATGCCAAAAGTTCTCGTATCCGACTAAAATATCAAACATTTCATTTCACACTGTATCGTTTTTAAAGATACCAACACATCGTTAAAATATATCTATATATCCCTAAATCAAGGGGGAGGTGAGGGAAGGTAGAGGGGAACTTTATTCCTCCTGGTCTTTCTTCCTCCTGGTCTAGTTAAGCAGAAGTAAACCAGCTCCTGTGGTGTCACTAAAAACTGAGCCTAAGACATAAGGACTGACAGTGCTGTGCACAAAGCATCAACATTTGTATGATTTGACCTCAACTTTCCTTTTTTTATCACAATCTTTTTGCTGTTTACATGTCCAGTTTGTGGTTTGCTTACATTGTTGTGACATGAAGAAAGTGAAACACTTATTTTTTTTAGACATGGCTGAAACTCTCTCTGATCCTTGGTGATTTTTCTTCAAAGTGTAAAGCTGCTAAGAGTCTTGGACACAGCATAGCGTCCATATGTTGGTAATAAGGACAAACCTACTGCCTTTTACATTTCTTGTAAACAGCTTTATTATATAGCAGACCTTCATATCTTGGGTATACAGAAAGGTAGTGATGAAATAAGTTACATTTGATGCAGTTTGTTTAGTCGTTAACCTTAAAGCAGGGAAGCTTTTTGTTTTTTGTTTGCACGTTGCATGTCGTCCCCCACTCTCTCCTCCCAACATTTCCTGTCTCTCTTCAGCTTTCCTGTCTAATAAAAACACTAATAAAAAAAACTTTAAAAAATAAGAAAAGTACATTGTCTCAATCAGTGCATAAATAGAAATTAAAAATTTAGATTTTCTGTTGTTCTTCATCTCTTGTACAGATAATATATTTATATAAATAAATAACCATATAAGTATGTCTTTTGAGTGTGATGTTATTTGATTGGGATGTGAGGATTTATGAGCTTGTAATGCAAGACAAATTTCCGCACAAACGGACAATAAAGCGTTATCTTAATAATCTTGCGCCCAATCCGAGGTTTGACCTGTAAGTCATCACAAAAGGACAGGATCTCGGAAATGGAAAAAGCGGTATAGACAGTGGATGGATGGAAATTATTATATGGGACTTTGGAGGTTCATGAAAGATGATTTTCTCTCTACTTGAGAAGGATTCCCCCAAAGTTGTTGACATTCTGTTTTCAAAGAAAAGTCCGACAATTTCTTTAAAACGAAGAGAGAAACTTTGTGAGAAACAGTCTGTAAAGAGAGAAATTCCTGTCTGCTCTCCTCAGCAACTGGTCACAGAGGCACTGTGGTTATTATGTCTGCAGAAACTCAAAGGCCAACTGTTATTGTGAAGCTGTGACCTTCAATAATTGAATCATGACAGAAAGGCGCTCACAGCCAGGCATGAACAGCTCCTCCTGCAGTGGGTGTGACCAGCTCTGCAGCCGTGCATTTTTTCCACAGAACATCAGAGTCTAACACAAGCCATCTCTCTTTTTAATAACAACATTAATCCACATCAAGATGAAGCCAGACGTGTTCAATTATCCATTTCAAAATGTTTAAAGAACAAATACAACTCTTCAGAAAATGTTCCCCTTCCCTTTCTCTCCTCCCGTGTTGTTTCCTTCTTCTGGATAAAAAAAAAGTCTCCTCCCCAGTCTGTTTCTTTCTCTTTTGTTTTTACTCTTATTCTCTTTCTTTTGTCTTTTTTTCACTTTGTAACTTTCCTCTCTGACTGACTCTTTAGTCCCTTGGTTGGCAGCTTGACATTTGATTTAACCCTGAAATGGACCTGAATATCTGCAGATTTAAATCGAATAATTGAAGAATTTATCACAAAAAAAAAAACAACAACATTTTTGACATTGTTGACAGTAAAGGAATTTACAAGTTATCTTAAAAATATTTTTTGGGGTGCTGGTAGGCTGCTGGGTTGTGCGCGCCCCATGTGCAGGAGTCGTGGTCCTCTGGGTGGCCTTGAATCTGACCTGTGGCTCCTTTGCCACATGTCCTTTACCATTTTCTCTGTCAACCATATTTCAGACACTGTCCACTGTGCTGTCTCTCAAATAAAGGTAAAAAACCTTAAAAAACCCTGATTTTTGTATAAAAAACAACAACAATACATCATGCGTTTGTGTAACAGGTGGCTTAAAGAGCACCAGAGACAGTTTTTGCAGGATATCACAGTGAAGTATAAAAGTCCACATGGTTGATTTTCAGAAAAACAAAACTAAAGCGTCTTGGTTGGTTTCTGATTTCTCTTCTCAGTTTCATAGCTAGTTTGCAAGATATTTGTGACCTAATCAACGGATAAACGCTCAGTGAAGAAACCCCTAGTCCCAATTATTCCCTTTAATAAGTTACATAACCAACAACATGCACCTTAGCTGCCACTACAACCAAAAAGCAGCATTGCTACCTTCAACAGACCCTGGCTTTGTTTACTCCAGCTAGCCAGGCAGCAACAACCTCGATACTAAACACCCTCCTGCATGGCCTCTATCGGCCTCCCAACCCAGCTGTGTAGACTGATGACCATGAGCCAGGACATCTCTGGGGTTGTCAAGTAGGAAACTCCTGTCACTGGTGCTTGGTCCAGTTAGTCCCAAGACACCTCGGGGAGGCTGGACAGTAAGCTCTGGCGTCCCAGATTCCTGCCCCCCCTACATACTAGCTCTCCCCACCCACCAAAAGAGAAAAGGGAAAAACATAAAGGAGAGTCTGTAGAGAGAAGTTAGAGCCTGGGGTGAGGCTGAACGCTCTACCTCTGTCCACTCCCCCAATTTCATGAAGAAATAGAAGAGAGAAAGAGGAGATAACAGATTTTCCCTTTTTTTGGTCCCCAACTATCATCGTCTCTCCTCATTAAAATCCACTGACTGGTTGTAATTGCTTCTCTTTATAGTCTTTTGCAAACTCTCTCCATGCACTCCCAGTTCTCCCAGTACTTTTACTGGACAAACTCTAACTTTCTGTCCTATTTGTTCAGATCCATCAAATCTGCATATCTAAGCTTTTTCCTCCAGTACACCTCGTCACCAGAGTCTTCCCAGGGCACGTGAGGTTTATAAAATAAACTTTCCGCTGACTCACAGACAATAACACGCTGTCAGGCCTCAGGTTTGTGCAAACTATTCACCTGTGTAACACCAAGCAAAGGTACAGATTTGTTGTTTTGGAAGAAGACTTTTTTTCAGCTCCGCCCAAGACAGACCAAAAACTGCAGACAGTTTTTACTCTATACCTGATTCTTAAAGGGGACATATTATGAAAAATCCACTCGTACAGTGTTTTTGAACATTTATTTGGGTAACCTGAGTGTCTATCAACCCAAAAAGTGTGAAATAAATCCATCCAGTCCTTTGTTTGTGGTCTGCATAATTCTTATAACACAGAGAAAAATGCTCTGTTTCAAATGTGCTACCCTTGTGATGTCACAGTGGGATTCTGGTAAAAAAAAAATCTATCTCCACCCATGGACTCCACCTCCAGCCTAAAACAAAACTTTTGCGCAGGTCTGCCATTTTTATTCACAAAACAGAGCGTTCTGAGAGAGCTGGTTTCTTCAGGGTCACAAACCTCCTCTGGTGCTTGATTCATGTTATATTTTGACCAAAGCACAGCACAGATGTTTCATTTAGACCACAGGGGACTGTTTGAAAAGTTGGAGAAGTGGGATAATATGTCCTCTTTAAAGAGAGAGATAAAGCTGAAAATATCAGAAACAATCCATTTAATGAACTGTAAAGCAGACATTCAATAATCACACTGAGAGAGATGCAAAGAAGTCCAAACTTTACTACACCTTAAGTAATCAAACAAGTACAAAAATAGCCAAACTTAACACTGGATTATTGTGAGTCTCTTCAAATTTTGATTGATTGATCGGTTTCTGATATGATTTCACCTGCTGTCTCGACGTTTGAGCAGCAACAGCAAAAATTATGTACAAAAAAAAACACAGCTTACAGATTTCACAGCAGGCTGTCAGTCTGCAACAAAAGTCTCATCGAGTTGATGTCTACACCTCAAAGTCCCCTCTTACTACGATGTTCAGTGTTCCTCTTCGTTACAGTACTCAGAGCAGATGATACAAAAAAAATCCTGAACGAGCATCGGAAAATGTTAATATCTATCAAATATAAAAGTATCATAAAACCTATTGGACAGGGATGAGTCCTACACAGGATTAAATCCATCACATGGACGTTTTGACATAACTACTACTTTAAAATTTAACACTCTATATTTTGTACAATCTTAACTCAAGTTTAAATCTGTTTCTACGGTTCATAGAGACTGAGATTTAAGGATCACTACACTTATTACAACTTGGGTCTTACTTACTTTTTTTTTCTCTGAGTCATAATGCATTCACACCGACAAAGTAAGACATGATATAGATGATAGAGAACTGTTAATACACTAATAAGGAACACACTTCAGACTATTATATTTGTTAAATTAACTTTAAAGGTCACATATTATGTGAAATACGCTTCACCATGTTTTTCTTTTCAGAAAATGTGTGCTCAAACAGGCCGTTTGGAGATTTTCCCTTCATGACATCACAAAGGGCAGTAGCCCCTCCCCCAGGTGGGTGACACTCCCACAGCTAGGTGTTTGTTCTAACCTCTGAGTCTGCCTTCTCACCGTAAACAATAGGACATGGAGCGAGAAGGCCCGAGCTACCCAAGCCCTTCCAGAGAGGGGGGGCGTGGTCAGACACAGCTCATTTACATATTTAAAGGTACAGACACAGAAACAGCCTGTTCTGAGCAGGGCTGAAATAGAGGGGTTTATAGGCATGATCAAATACAGGATCAGAGTGGATTTAGAACAAGAAGCTTCACACACATGTTTTAGGGAGCTCTGAGACTTATTTACACTGGTTGAAGAGGAGGAGAATATGTGACCTTTAAGTCAATGTTGAGAGAATCTTACAGCTGCTTAACTTTAACCTCTATAATAACATACTTACAGTACATTAAGGATTTCATTTCAAACAAAAAAAGAGTCCTAAAGCACACCAGGAACAAAGGCTGAGGCCGTTGTCCACAGCTTTTCGCTGCATAGTGTGACATCTTGATAAACTGTTGCAGCTCGTGTTTATTGACTGTTCAGACTTCTCCTTCAGCTTGCCCCACACTAAAAGATTCTTAAAGACCTACGCAGATTTAAAAAAATGTGAGAGACCCCACACATGACGTCATATAGTCAGAGATTTAACTGTTTCTTTTCCTACTGTATCTGTGTGGTGTGCTGTTTGGGCGGCCCTGCCTCCGAGCAAATCGGATCGCCCTTAACAGTCCTCACATCACAGGACTATCAGCCGATAATCTTGTAATGTGTACCCTGCTTTAGCAGAATGACTTACCCCCAGATCTCAACTGTTACTTCATGAGAATTATTATTATCATAACTGATGGAAATTATCACTCAAACTTCAAAAATAAGACCCAAGTTATAATAAACCTAAATGATCCTTTTGATAAAACAGTTCTGTTCCTCAGCACGGTGTCCCGATAGCTGTGGTAGAGTCTTTGGCTCTGTCGTAGCAGACTGCTGGTTCTGTGGCCAACATGCTCTTCACCTCCTCTTTGCTGGAGGGAGTCAGCGAGGACGGAGTGGGCGATGTGGGCGAGGAGGGGTTGGAGGTGGCGGTGGTTGAAGCAGACGAGGAAGAGGAGGAGTTTCCGTCGGGGATGCACTCCTCACAGCAGCAGCAGCAGCAGTCCATGAAGGCCTGACCCAGAGAGCGGCACAGGAACAGCAGCAACACTGGCGTCGCCGAGCAACGCACAAACAGCAGGAACTGACCAATCAGATTCAGCGCTGGCAGGACCAGAGCCGGCATCGCAGCAGACACGTGGGCGGAGATGTACGCCAGTGTGATGTTACAGATGCTCTCAGGCAGGTTGCATGTGACATACAGGATGGTGAGCGCCATGACGGTGGAGCGCAGACGCTGCTCTCTCCCGTGCTGCTTCTTCTTTGTTGAAGAGGAAGACGAGGAGGATGAGGAGGGGCATCTGCTGGTCACCTTTTCACCTGCAGGTTTCTGTGGCAGACGCTGGGCTAACACCTGCCTCGTCACCAGGTCGCAGGCCAGAGTGAAGAGCAGAGGCAAGCACAGGTAGCAGCCAAAGATCCACCACATGCGGGCCTCGTGGTACGTCAGCACCAGAGAGTACACGTTCTCTGGAAGCTCCACAGACGGCTCGCGGACGCAGACATCCACCTTAAACGAGTCCTCCCGTGCTCTTAAAGCGGCCAGCAACGTCGCACCCGGCTGGCTTCGATGCAGGCCGGAGGAGAGGGTCGACAGGCTGACAGGTTCCTGGACGAGCTGCCACAGAAGCAGCTCAGGGGCCGCTAGCACCAGAGAGCCCACCCAGATGACGGAGAGCTTGGAGAGGATGGATTGGCAGGGCTCCACTCTGGGCGTCTGGAGGGGCCCGGGGCCGGTGGCGGCGTGAAAACGATCAATACTGAGAGCACAGAGGCTGAACGTGGCCACACCCAGAGAGGTCACCTGAGGGAGAAACGACAGAGAGGATGGGACAAGAAGGTCACAAAAAAAACTTTGTTTCTTAGGGATGAATTACTTCATAAATCAGGTTCAAACGCTTAAAAAGAACTCTTGGATCGAAATTTTAAGACTCCCGCTATGTGTGGCTAGATATACCACACAAAAGAAGCAACTCTAAATCACATTTAATGAACTTTACCAACACATGTGACATTTCGGGTCTTGTCTCTTCATGGCTGACAAATTGTACAATGATGAGTAAGAAATCTCAGGTCACCATGATGCAGAGGCAAATGTAAATATAGTACATCAAATTGTACAAATAGATATGTATAGATATAGATATATGGATTGTATAAATATATAAATTATAAAAAATCATAATATATCAAGTTGTATATATGAATGGAAAATCATTGGATTGTAAATATCAAATATAGTATCATAAATATAGTATAGCAAATTGTATATAGATAGATTGTATATATATAGAGATTATAAGGAACACAGGAAGTTAATTTAATTTAATAAATGTTAATTATTGAGCTGTGGAAAAGTGGTTGGATTAAATAAGTTGTATACTTCTTCCTACTCCTTTTCAGGCATATCAATTGAATATATGTAATTTGCTTTTTCTTTTTCTTTTTTTGTGAAACAATGTGAACATTGTTTTTTGTTTATTGTATTTTCGTGCTTTTCATTTTGTTTTGTATTTTTGATATGTTTGATTTTGATTTGATATGTCTGAAATAAATGTAATCAATCAATCAAAAAACCCTCAGCGAAGAATTGATTCAGAGGTCAATCAAATCAATCAAAAAGACTAACGTGTTGCAGGTAGTGTTGTTGTACACAAAATCGGTCTAGGTCTCAAGACTGATTTAGAGTCCTGCAGTCTCTTTGAGTCTCGGTTTAGTCTTGGATTTGTAAGCATTTTTACTCTGTCTTGTCTCGGTATCAGACTAGGCGGACTCCGGAGGTCATTACTGTGATTAGAAAGACAACACTTCTTTCAACACTTCTTCAATTCATCTATAGTTTGATTTGTATCCCCTGGTTACGCTACGGTTACGGTCTCAGGGAGTGACACGCCCCCTGCACACAAGATGATGGATTTTTTTTAGTGATATTTATGGTCTTGGTCTTGGTCTTGGTCTCACTCTGCCTTGGTCTTGGACTCGGCTTCGATCCTTAAATGTCTTGGTCGTGTCTCAGGTCTCAGGTCAGCGTTCTGGTCTCGGGTATGTCTTGGTCTCGGTTAGTGTGGTCTAAACTACAACACTACTCAGGTCCTCATGCTGTAAAACAACACACAAATTTAATGACTGTTTTCTGTCTGTGAATCTTGACTTTAGAGACTCCCTGTTTGAAATTGTTTATATTCTTCATAATTTTCTTACCATTTTACTGTTATATAACTTAAATTTAAACCATCTAATACAGTTCTTAGTAACATGTTTTCTAACACAACAGAGCAACAACCAGGATTAACTTCCAGCTTGTCTCTTGCCCTCTCTGCCTTTCTTCATGCTGCTGCTTTGATTCAGTCAGACGTGACCTGTTAGCACAACGTAGACCTCAGACACATCCAGACTTCCTGCAGACGGCTTGAATGAGCAGGAAGGTGTTTTGTTGCTTACAGAACAGATTAATTAGCCAAAAGGGAAATTAGCCAAAACTACAGTAATAAGGCGCTCCGTTGTGACATCTTTGGAATACAGAAGCAGGGAAATAAAAGGAACCCCGAGAGGGGGAAGGGGAGCCATTATGTTGTTTAACAGCTCTGAGCCTGCAGACTGGGGACAGTTATTGGTGCCTCGTGCACATTAATGTCTTCAGCTTTGGCTAAAAACACGAACTATCATCACAGAGGCTTGTCCGCCCCCTGTGGTTGCCTAATGACCTCAAACAGTTAAGACACAACTCCAGATAATTAACGGGGCGATCCGATTAGCATGAAAATAGTTGAAGTGACAGAGCACAGGGGCAGCTGGCAGCCTGACCTGCTTTCACCGCAACACAGAGAATCTGCTCAAAAAGCACTTTAGGAAAAAAACGTTAACTAATTAGCAAAGAATTAATTCATTAATTAGCATGAAAAAAGATGAGAAACAAAGACTGGAGGAGGCCAGCAGGCTGACCCTGTTAAAGACGGATTCTTACAAGATGTTATTACAAACTACTAAAACTCCACTTCAGTGATTCAGAGCGCTGAGGGCGTACCGAGATGGTTTAGAGACAAAAAAAAGATTTCAACAAGCCGGCAGGGTCCATAATGGAGGAGGAGCCAGATGAAGCCTACAATGAGCAACCAAGAGGCTGTGAGGGCGCCGCATGATCAATCTGTGAGGGTACTTAACCCTCTGAATGAAGCCGAGGACTGTCTAAACTCAAAGCATCCTCGGTTGAGGCAGGTCAAAAGGATGTTCAATATCTAGAGCTACAACCGTCAAGGCAACGTTTTCTGATCAAATATTGAGAAGGTATCCATTTATATTAATTGAACTACATTTTAAGTTATGTCTACAAGGAAAATTTAAACACACTTGTGAAAATTAAAACATAAATGTTGTGTTTCTTTAGTATTGGTGGTAAACAAAAGACATTAAAAGACTAGACCTGTTTGTTTTTTAAAGTTAATATTTGGCTTTTTATGCCTTGATTTTAGAGACAGGACAGTGGATAGAGTCAGGGCTAGAGAGAGGGAGAGGGGGGAATGACCTGAGGTAGAAGAGCCACAAGTCAGACTTGAACCCGGGCCACCAGCTACGAGGACCACAGTCCCTGTACTTGGGGCGGGCGCACTTACCACTAGGCTACTGGCACCCCTAAAAATGCTTGATCTTTGACCTACTGAGGAGTATAAGAGCCAGGCAAGAGAAATCACCAAAGGAAGTTCTTTTTTTTTTGATACCACAAATAAAGTCTGGCATGTAGCTGTAACTTTGGGAACAAAGTGGAACAATTAAGTGAAAAATGCAACAACAAAAACCTTGCAATTTCAAGTTTCTTAACTCTCTTTCCATGAACCTCGAGAACAATGCCAGAAATGTTTTCATGCCATTTTCCGAATCTTTTTGCACTAAAAATAACTTAATGACATGCGGGAAAGGAGCCACAGGTCAGATTTGAACCCAGGTGGCCGGTGTGAGAACTAAAGCCTCCATACATGCGGCATGCACGCTGACCATACTTAAACCCATATTTAAACTTTAAAATGACTTCTCACTCAGAACAGGAGAGCGGCCTCAAACATTCCCGTTCAGTCAGGACTTTCTCTTCTTTTCATTAAAGGCACATACTGATATTTTCTCTTTCATTACTGAGACTTGGTGTTGGCTTTTCACACTCTACACGTGCAAGTAAACATCTGAGTTTGTCATAACTACATCTCTGTGTGTGCATGTCATTGTTGGCAGGGCCCAGCCGAGCAGGCAGCCCCCCCTGTGGCTCATATGACACAGCTGAAGGAGCCAAACGAACCATAACAGCACGTTTGTTGAAAGTGAAGACTGAAACTGAGCAGAAACAAGACACAAAGCAGGGCCATTCATCAGAGAACTGAATGTGTCTGTAATCAACTGGAAAACATTAACAATGAGTTTAACATGGGGATGTAAAAACAACCCAGACAGTCAGGGCAAACTCTGGCAACCAATCATTTATGGTCACATTAAAGGGGACATATTATGAAAAAAAGTGTTTTTGAACATATATTTGGGTAACCTGAGTATCTATCGACCTACAAAATGTGAAATAAACCCATCCAGTCCTTTGTTTGTGGTCTGCATAAGTCTTACAACACAGAGAAAAATGCTCCCTTTCAAATGTGCCCTCCTTGTGATGTCACAGTGGGATTCTGGTAAAAAAAAAAGAAAAAAACTCCCCTCCCCTGGTATCTCCACCCATGGACTCCACCCCCAGCCTAGAACCAAAGTTTTGCTCAGGTCTGCCATTTTTATTCTCACTACAGAGGAGTGATGTCTACCAGGAAAACTCAAGGGGGCTCATTGCATTTAAAGAGACACACACACCAAAACGGAGCGTTCTGAGAGAGCTGGTTTATACAGGGTCACAAACCTCCTCTGGTGCTTGATTCAGGTTATATTTAGACCAAAGCACAGCACAGATGTTTCATTTAGACCACAGGGGACTGTTTGGAAAGGTGGAGAAGGGGGATAATATGTCCTCTTTGTTTGAACTGTTTAACCTGTTTGAATGTCTGCATGTGTATAATTGTGTAAAACTTTAAGACCGGTTTAACTCACTAGTTTATAAAGCGTGATCAAGTTAATAGTCACTGCTGAACACACTGTGTTGGAAAAACAGTCCAAATAGTTTTGAGTCTTTTAATAGTTAAAGTCATCCTACAATCCAAACACCAACAGCTCCTGCAATGTGAGGATTTTGAGCTGGTCTCTTTTTATATTTTGAATTAAAGAGATCAGCGTTGATGCTTTTGGACAACTGGCTGGACAAAACAAGACTGTCGCATTTGGCTTGTAAAACTGAGATAGATATTTTGTTTATTTTTACATTGTGGTTAAATGCCGTTTAATTCAAACTTTACATCAGACTCAAGGTCCAGATAGGAGTCAGGTAAGTTTACAAACAAAGCCATTTTGGGCTTTTAAAAACAAAACAATAGATTAATCAAATATTTAATTTAAGCAAAGTAATTTGTTGCAGAAGTGGAGTTCATTCACAAAGCGTAATAAAATTTAAGTTACTATGATAATATGTTTACCTCAGCAAGTTAGTGACAAAGGATCGGCTATTCTGTTTGTTCCTCTGATGTTGTCCGGAAGTTGGCGTTATAATTTTACATTCATTAAAAAAACATGAAAATCTTCAGGATAAAAAAAGGCTACTTTAAAAGTCTTTGTAGGCTATGTTTAACATTTTCTGGTTCAGGCTTCTAGATAGTTTAAAGAGGTTTGGTAGTGAAATTTGAAAGTTGGAGAAGTGAAACAATTTCATGCAATATATTCTGAATTAATTAGCCTACACAAACTTTTTTTCTGGAAAAAATGGGTCCCTGGAACACTGTTTGGAGTTAAAAAGTGATAGTTACGGGTTTCACTGTTGGGGGCCCACCACCTTAACTTCTCTCAATCATTTTATCTTCAAACAGTGTTACAGGGCCAACTTTTCCTCTGCAGACAGTTTGTGTATAGAGTTATGAACATTTACAACAAAATCTGTAAAAGTCTCCAACTCAAATTTCTCTACCAAAATTTACATAGTGCACCTTTAATAAAAAATCAAATCTTCTTGAGATTTATTTATTTTTTCCTCCTCACCTCCAGATAGGGCACGAGCCTACAGGACAGGTCTCCTAGCAACCTCTTCAAGGTGAGCTCGTGGAAGACGACCACCGGAAGACAGAAGAACAGCACGAGGAAATCCCAGAAGGCCAGTCCAGCCAGGATGCAGTTCCACGCGCTCTTCAGGTAGAAATTATGCCAAACTATGCACATGAGCGCGAGGTTACCCACGATGCCCGCTGCGAATAGCACGAGCGCCAGGAGCATGACGGCGTACGCCCAGTAGGACCCGTCGGTGACCGGGAAGAGCGGGTTGAGTAGCCCGGAGGAAGAGTTACCCGGCCGGGCGGAGAAGTGCCGATCGACCCGCGGTGTGGTGAAGTACCCGCTCGGGTCGTCGTACTTCCGAGGAGACTGTGGGTCTCTTTTCCCGAAAGTTCCGTCTTTTGCTCCTCTGGCCACTCGCTTCAGGTGCGGGACTTTAAAACTATCAGTCCTGTCGGGAAAAGTCATTTCCTTTGTCACCGGGGTACCAGCATCCTCCTCCCGGGTACCAGCATCCTCCTCCCGGGTCACAACCAGCTCGGACCCCGATGACCCCCCGGCTGCTTGGAGATGACGGAGCTCCACAGTCCGCAGAAAAAGAAGCAAAATAAACCAAACCGAACTCATTTTTTTACCGATGAGCTGACTGTTGTGGGTTGTTATTATTATCTGTCTCTATCAAAGACATGTGATGCAACAAACAGTGGACCCCTGAAATAAAAACGTCCATGAACAAGTTCGTCTCTGGACGTCTGGTCCTGATGGAGGAGTTTGGAGTCTGCAGCCGAGTTCAGCACTTGTTGCTCCCAACTTGAGTCTATTCATCACCATCAGTGTAAATGGGGATACGACAACAGGGGCTGTTTCCGGTCTTTCATTTCAGAATAAGGGCGTTAACGGAAACTGGGCTCAAGTGCATTGATATGCTCATCTTAGAAATAGGGATGTAACTATACATTTACATCTAAAATCATAAAAGAAAGAGGTCACATTTAAATGGATAAAACAGACTATTTTTAACCAGTAGAAATAAATAATATTGATTTATGTCTTTATTTCAAACAAAAAAAAATACAAAGAAAAGCTGTAGGCCCAATTAAAAATATGTAGAAAACAAATAAAATAAATACGTAACATGAGAATGAAAATTCAGTGTCCTTCATTCGCTCTTACGTGCCCGAAAAGGAGTAGGAAGAAGTTCAAATTTATCTAACACCCCTTTTAACTCAATTTCTAATAAAGAAAATTCAAACAATCTACATCTACTTTAAATTTCCTCAGATTATTGGAGTAGCGTGAAATTCATCCTTAGATTTTGCATTTGGGTTTAATACATTTTTAAAACTATAAGTTGTATTTGGATGACACCCTGCCTAAGTTGCTGTTTTACAGTCGTCCAATAGGTGGTACTGTCGCCAAAAAACACAAGGGTCCTAGATGTGCTGTCCCAGAATTTCGGTCCTGAAACTGCAGACTCCGGCTCTGCAGACACATACTAGATGCACCCATACTGTTGGGATTATTTGGGGGCTTTTCATGAGCTTCCCTTTTCCGAGTGGACTTGTCATATAGAGTCAGGATCACCAGTGTTACTAGCAAACATTACCGGGAGGAGTTACTCTTACTCTCTAAACTCAATATCCTGCGACTAACCTATGTGTGGCCAAGAGAAGCAAAGAAGTGCATTAAAAGTATAAAAATTCAGTTTCTCAGAGATTTCTTTGCCAAATTATTTTGGGGCACAATTAACCATAAGTACAAGATAATCAACCTTAAATACCTTAAAGAGTGTCAGTCAAAGAAAAGGCAGGAACACTGATTTGATGTAAGAAAGACCAAAACTGTTTAATGGAAAGAACACGAGGGGATAACCTGGAAATGCTTATTTATTCATCCATTTTTAATAACAAAGGTTGGTCCTCTGAAGCTGTGATTGGCTGCTGCAGCTGCTGCATGTTGTCCAGAAGTTCATTAGCAGCATTATTTCCATGGCAACTAACGAGGACAACCAGAGTAGATGACCCGTTAACAGGAAACTCTAACCAAAGCTACGTCTCTGTTTTTCAAATAAAAATACATTTGATATTTGGACGCTCTGGAACATTCCTTTCAATTCTGTGTCTTCAGCAGATATTCGGCTCCCTCTGGTTGATTGGTATATTCAGTCAGGGAGCAACTAATTAGTTTATGATTCAGAAGTCCAGCCAGACTTCAACTCCCATAATCCTCAGCTCTTCTGAGAGGACTTCAGCTTCCTGCGAGCATCCTTGTGTTTCTTGCGGTACTCCTGATGAAAAGAAAGTTGATTTACATTTACTAAATATATTCATTATATGTCCTTCATATCTATTATTTCTTCAAGCAAACATTAATAATTTTCACAACAATATAGCATGTTTCTGTAAACAATGTAAACAAAGTGGGGTCCAAATTATAGCTGTATTATCTACACGTGTCCATGCATATTTGGGAAGACCTAAAACACTGATTTTTTTGGGGCCTTTTTGGGGGTTTATTCCTTTATTGTAGAGATAGGACAGTAGATAGAATCAGAAATTATGGACATAGAGAGTGGGGAAATTAAATCCGGGAAAGAAGCCACAGGTCAGCATTGAACCAGAGCCGCTCACTTCGAGGACTACAGCTTCCGTACATGGGGCGCACGCCTTAACTGCTCGGCCATCGTCGTCCCTAAAACCCTGATTTTGTGTCGTGGTGCATTACAAGACGTGTGAAAGTACAACGCACAACATTGTTATAGATATCAATGAGTCCAGTGTTTGATGATGGATGTGAAATCTGAGTAATTGGGAGTGATGGAGTACAAGAAAACATCAGGAATATATATCATACAGTAATTTATATTACTGTAAAAACACTCATCTGGTTTAATTCTTAGCAAGTTAAATAACAAATAAATAACTTGCTGATTTTTACCTGTCTGAGTGCGGTCCTCCTCTCCTCCCACTGCTCCCTCTGCTCCTCCAGGTTAGAGGGGCGACAGAACAACCTGGGACCCTCTAGTGGAGGAAAGAGAGATCACACACAAAACTTAATGACAAAACACTTATTTGAGAATTGATTAAAAGTTATTCACTTATAAGAGAGCCCACATGAACCTCTGCTTGTCCAAATATCAGAAATCTCCTTTCATTTTATGTTCAGATAACTTCACTCTTCAAGTTTTAAGATTACGATTTAGTTTTATTGATCCCCCAAGGGGAAATTCTGTTTTTACACTCTGTTAATCATGCAACACACACATAGGCTGAAATATACACACATGCACAAACAGGATCCTATGGGCATGCACTAATGGAGAGATGTCAGAGTGACGGAGCTGGCCACAGCGGGCACTCCTGAGCTGGGTCGTGAGGAGGGGGTTTGGTGCCTTGCTCAAGGGCACCTCGGCAGTGCACAGGAAGTGATCTGGCATCTCTCCAGTTACCAGACCAACTTCCATATTTGGTCCGCACCGGGACTTGAACTGGCGACCCTCCTGGTTCCCAACCCAAGTCCCCACAGACTGAGCTACTGCCGCCCCAAATGCTTTTCTTTTGATTATTCCCTATGTGGCCCATGTGTACCAAGGAAAGAGCTTTTTGCTTTTGTGTCTCAAAACTGAGAAAATAATTGCTGCATGATATCAAAATGGCGAGCTCTCTGTGTATTTGAAAAATTATATTAAAGGAGCAGTATGTAACTCTGACACCTAGTGTTTGAAACGGGTACTGCAGTTTAAATTCAAATCATTGTAGAGAGCTGTCTCCCCCCGCACCCTCCTCTCTAGAGTTGATGCTCACGCAGGTTGCCATGTCGTGGTCTCTGTAGCTTCAGTGTTTAGCCAGCTCTGCATCGGTCTGTCAACCTTTCTGCGTTCTAACCTCTCTCCATTTTCCTTTCATGTTTATGTAGGAAATGCCATGTGAACATTAACAAATCACACTGTAGTTTACACAGTGATGGAGTCTTCCTCCTACCTGTCAGTCTGCTGTCTTCAAGGAAGAAGAAGAATCGATCAGTCGTTGAAGGAGTCTCCTCTCTGTGAATGAAACACAAATATCCGATCAGACGATTTGAATTAAACTGAAGTAGATGTTAGAAAACTGTCCTCCTCTTTTAGAGCCTCAGTGTCCTATAAAAATGATACCCCCGACTTTAACAGTAATCTGCCAGGTGTTTGACTAATTTAACCTTTACAAATAAAAATAAAATGCAGCAACATGGATGCCTTTGAGCAGAGAAAGCTCTAAATGATATTATATATCATAAAAAGATGATGTCAATGAACAGAAAATGTCTCTTAATGTGCATAATTGCTTAAATGTTCCATCTATTTAAAGGCTTTATATGCGTTTTTTTTGATCCAGCAGATGTCGCCCTTGAGCACCAGCATGAAACCAAAACAACTTGCTGTGCATTGTTGTGTTAGCATGCTAATGCTAGCGATCTTTATCATGCTCGTATCTTCACACTGCATGTAAATTTACCCGAAATGACCGTGATCTAGAAACACAGTAAAGCAGTGAGTGCAGTATATTATTCTTCTTTTCTCTAGTCCCTCAATTAAACAACTTTTATACGTGAGGGGATGAGTCGGCTGGCCATCCGGGCGATGTAAACACACTGAAGATAGGACTCGAAAAACTCGGAAAGTATCACAGACAGTGGGACTCGGGTGTTACACACATTGTAGACAGTCATGACTCACAGAGATATTTTCAGAGGATATATTTGATTTCTATTACATTTAATTGTGAAAAATCGCATATAAAGCCTTTAAAGCATTAAATACACATTTTAAATAATTGTACTTTCAAATATTAAGATTTTCTAATTTTTCTTTCTTGTAATTGATCATAAATGAAATATTTTTGGCTATTGCAAGGATTGTCAGAGATAAAATTGACTTCAAAGCACCCATTTTTACTTTAGTCTGAGATTTGATCGTCCAAATAAATCCACAGAGAATTTACTCGGCATAGTAATAAATATTTTTGTTGTGATTTTGCAGCAACAGTAGAGACTCTTTGACTTGAAAGTAAGTCAGACAAAAAGTCATACAAGTGACCTCATTTAAAGCCTTAAGAGTAAAGTATTTCTCTTACTCTATGATTTTTTCAACAGCACTACTTTGCTCCTCATCTTCCTCCTGCTCTTCCTCTTCCTCCTCTGAGCTGCTGTCATGGAAACGTGGGTCTTGTTGCCAAGACACCTTTGGTGCCTGAATGCTGTCCACTTTGTACTCTTCTGGAGGAGAAAGAAAAGGCAGACATTTAGAGCTTGTGAAAACCAATCGTCCTTATGATGGTCTGAGAAAATATCTCCGATGCAACCTACCTTTCTCTTTGCTTTCCGTTTCCAAGTCGTCTCCAAAGAAAGAGAATTTAAACCCAGATGACGCCTCTTTGTCTGTGCTTAGATCAGCTGAGAGGAGAGACGGCTGAGGCTGTTCATTGTCCCCTCCTTCCTCCCCTTTTTCTTCTTCCTCTTGGTCCCAATTCATCTTCTCTTCTTCTTCTTCTTCAGGGACCTCATCCTCCTTCGATGCACCAAACACGGCCTTCAGGTCACCGGACACATCATAATAAATATCCTTGGAAACTTCCGGAAGCTTCTGTGCCTCCTCCCTCTTCTTCCTCCTTGCTGACTTGCTGCAAAGAAAATAGATCACACAAGTTACTTTAGTAATGTCACTGATGTTAAGTTGTGGTGTGCCATAAGGCTCCATCCTGGGTCCTCATCTGTTGTCTTCATACAGAGGTTTACAAGCTATTCAGAACCGTCGGTCTGCATTTATCTTAAGACAAAAAAAATGAATGTTACAATAATGTTTTAGGTGACTCAGATTAGTACAATGATGGTATGATTGTTCCTACCTTTCCTTGGTTTCTTCTGTTTTGGTCTCAAAAGCCGCATGTTCCTCTTTGCTAGGGTCGTAATGCAGTGCTGAGACGTCTCTGCAAAAATACACACATATTATTTTCCCAAGTTGATTTTCCATTTTAATATCAAACATCCTTTATCTGAGGCTGCTGTGGTCGAGACTCTGTACACATGCCGGTGTGGCTGACCTGAAGGTCTTGGCTTTGACGGTTGTCTTGCTGCTGCAGGTTTGTAGGCTGCTGCCGAGGACTCCCTGCAAGATGGATAGGTTCTTCTTCCTCTCCTCCTCTAGAGCCTCCTCATCTTCTGTAACGCTCTTCTTGTTCTCTGTGTCACAAATTGTTTAGAGAGATTTAGAGATGTACACAGATTTCTCTTCAGTACATAAACTTAGAAACATTTAGGTCAGGAAAACAACCCCAAATAACTTTTAACATCTGCAGGAATACATTTAGTTAACTTAATAAAGAGGAAGATTAGAACTTCCTCTTGACAAAAACATTATTATTATTAAATGAAATATATATATAAATGCATTTAAATGCATTTATTCAGTTATTTTTTGGGCCTTTTTGCCTTTATGGCAGCTGAACAGAGACAGCAAATGTTGGGATGAGAAAGTAAGAGACGACATGCAGCCAAGGTCCGAGGTCGGATTCTATCAGCCGCTTTGACGAGGAGTATAGCCTCTGTACATGGGGTGCGCGAAATAACCGCTAGGCTATCAGCACTCCCATGAAATATATTTTTTGAAACCATGTAAATGAATAAAATACATGTTGATGAATAGAAATAAAAATAAACATTCAATGTTAAAACCTAAAAACTAAAAAAACTGAACACCTGATGTGGTAATCAGATTTTTTACATTTTAACTTTCTGATCAGTTGATCAGTGTTCTCCAGTTTTTGTTCTCCAGCAAAATGATCTCCCCTAAAAGCTGATGTAGCCATTTGACCCGTTGCCCCTAACCAGCACCTATTTTTGCAACATTTCAGATAGTTTGATAAGCTGCCGCCAAAAATGTAACCTTGACTAACTTATTTTCTTCTCCATTTTTCCACCAAAACACACCCTCATCCAAAGCCTTACCTGACTCGTCCTTTTTGTCCTCATCCTCCTCTAGGAAGCGAGAGTCCATCTTAAAACGCTCGTCCGTCCCAAAACGAGACTGCAGCGCCATCAGCTGGACAACACAAACAACATCAGAGGTGAGCGTCCAATCACAGCCAACATCTCCATCGACATATCGTGACAAAAAGCCTTAAAGTACCCAGAGGAGGAACCTTATTGACTTTTCATATAGCTGTTTAAGCACACAAGGCTTTTTATTAAAGATCAAAGCAATTTCAGCACTTAAAACTCAGTATAATCTTCTTTTTCTCACCTTCTGTCCTGCTCGACCTTCAAACTGAGGCCTGATGTCAAACCTGCCGCCATCCTCTTCTTTATCGCCATCCTCCTCATCCTCACTGCCGCCAAACAGCTGAGGGACTGGCGGCTTCCGATGTACCTGCACACACACACACACACACACACACACACACACACACACACACACACACATGATTTCCTGCCATATCTATAAGACAGAGACGACTGTACTAAAGTTGCCATGAGCAAATTCAAGATTAAATATTCTATAATAATATTTAAAATAGGAGTCTAACATACGATACAGCTAATTTCTAAACTGATCTAAAACTGATCTTAGTATAACTCTTGGCTCACCTTTTCTTTTACTGTGCTGTTCTCACTGGTTGCTACATCATCATCTGAGTCCTCGTCCTCTGATTGGCTGTCGTTGAACAGCGTCTTCTTTGGCGTTGTGATGTTTGGGGTGGCCTGCTGCTTCTCATCATCCTCACTCTCATCATCATCAGAGCCAAAGACGATGTGTTTCCCCGCTCCTGCTGCAGGTGCATCCTGACAAAGATCAATATTGTGTGTTAAAAATGTCTCCAGAGGAATGCCGATGTCGCTCCTCGTGTTCTTGGTGTTTAATGAAAGAGTGCAAATCAATTATAACTCCCAGTTTCTACGTCTATCAGCTGTTGTGCATGTTTTAAACAACACCTGTGTTTGCAACTTTTCCCTCATGAATCATAAATTAAACCAAGAAGCTTCATTTCCACCACCTCTTAAATGACACCAATAAATCTGAGTTTAGCTTTTAAGTAGCTTCAGCTTTACCTGCATCTAAATGGTTTGTAGGCATGAACCTTATAGCCAGGTCTCCATCAAACAGGTAAAATGTTCACATGCTGAGAGGAAGAGCGTTGCTTGTTTAGGAAAGATAATGTTGATAAGGATGTCAGTGTGTTTTGTTGTGCAGCCCTATGATCAATTGCAATGGATGCATGACATTTTATCTGAAGTTGGAGATGCAACGTTCTGATGAAACAAAACATTCAACGTGTATGCATGCTGCATAAAAGTACATACTTGTTATGAGCAGCAGCAGTGCATACAATATAAAAAGAGTTTTGGAAGATAGGGGTTTATTAGGGAGGTTAATTATGCAGCTTTTAAATGCAAATGTTTAAAAACACCTTTGTTTCCTGAACTGTTTTTTATATGTTTCTAAGGTCATGTTTACCGCATAATTAAAAACTGACAGAATTTTCTAGGGGATTATTTTTGTTTTAATAAGGTTAGCCATTTTCTTTTACTGGATTATGGAAAAAGTCTACAAGGCCCAACAGCCCTTATCCAAAACCTGAAAATATATTTTCATATATTCTAACAATAAACCTCTTTGGAAAAATCTCAACGAAAAGGTGACAAAGAAAGGAAAAGATGACCTAAAAACACAAAAGGCTTGAAGAGGGTCAAAAAGCTCCAGCAACATTTAAACTTTATTAACTTGATTAGATAGACATGTTTTAGTTTGTGGCCTGGATGACCCTGATGAAGGCCACAGGCCGAAATGTGTTAGGGCGGTCTAATAAAGTTAATAAAGTTGATCTTCAAACTACAAGTGTTGCTGGAGCTTTTTGACCTCCTTTAGACTTTGAAAACCCACAAAGAGCTGTGATGTGATTCTGAACCCACCAGGTTGGCCAAAGCTCCCTGAATCAGCTTCTTGTGTTCGTCAGCCTCTTTCTGCCTCTGCTGGACGGCAGCCAGCCTCCTCATGTTGGCCACCCTCTGCAGCTCCTCCTCCTCTTTAGCTCCCAGCGGCGGTCGAGGAGGAGCCTGCTTTTCTTCTTCTTCTTCCTCCTCTTCCTCCTCGTCGCTGGAGGAGGACTCGCTGGGAGGAGCAGGCGGAGGTGAAGCTTTCAAAGCATCTTTGGCAGGAATGATCCCCTCCTCCTCACTGGAAGAGCTGCAGGATGAAGAGGATGAAGGTGAGGCCTTAGCTGCTGCTTTGGTTATAGCAGTAGCCTTTGTTCCCTTTTCCTCTTCCTCCTCTTCATCATCACTGGTAGAGGAGGAATCAGTCTCAGCTTCCTCTGTGTTTTTTGCAGCTTTAGTTGGAACCACTTTTAAAAGCTGTGGAGCAGCCATGTTTTTAACCACCTCCACCTTTTTCTCCTCGTCTTCATCGTCTTCAACATCTTCCTCCTCCTCTTCTTCATCATCATCACTGGTAGAGAAGGACTCAGTCTCAGCTTCCTCAGTGTTTACAACATCTTTAGTTGGAACCAATTTTAAAACTGCAGCTTTGTTTTTAACCACCTTCACCTTTTTCTCTTCTTCTTCTTCTTCCTCCTCCTCGCTGCTCTCTGCAGCTGTCTGTTCTGTCACAGGGTCCAGCTTCTGTCTTTTAACCTCACCTCCTTTCTCCTCTTCGAGTCTCCTCTGACAGTCCTCTGTTTCCACTCCGTTGTTCAGCACTCTCGTTCCCTGGAAGGCGGGCAGCGGCGTCGACATGACGGCTTTTCTCTTCTTCTTTTTCTTCTTCTTCTTCTGCTCGTCTTCGCTGCTGTCATCGGCCATGAGGGAGGCGAGGATGTCTTCTGGCAGGATGCCCTTTTTGGGTACAGGTTGATCCGGATTAGAGGAGGAGCCGAGGATGCTGGGAGGTTTAGTCTCAGAGGTCTGCTGGAATTCTTCAGCTACTCTCTGTAGATCCGCCAGGGAGATCTCCAGACGGGTGACATTAGAAAACATGGCTTCATAATCATAATCTGAACTGTCATCAGCTGATTCTAACTCCGCCTCATCTTCATCCTCCTCCTCATCCTCCTCCTCATCACTATCTGAATGAGACTGAGGGGGTTCAACAGGTAGGACAGTTATTTTCTTACTTTTGCTCTGAGAACTCTTTTTCCCAGAATCCCTGCTCTCCTGTGGGGCAGAAAGTTTCCAGGAGGTGAGGTGATCTTCAGCATCCGATGAATCCTCCTCTTCCTCTCCAGCTTTTTTCTTCTTCTTCTTCTTCTTCATCTTCTTCTTCTTGTCTGTGTCGTTTCCTGAGAGGTGATTTTCGGTGGGTGGAGTCAGTCTCTCCTGCGGTGGTGGAGGAGGAGCATTAGGTTTTCTGGAGGCGAGGAGTTCATCTGTGTCTGCAGAGTCGTAGTCATTCTCTTCTTGGTCGTCTGCCTCGCCTAGGAAAGTGAGAAATGTTTTAAAGACTTGACTGAGCATCAGGATTAAAGCAGCATGTTCCTGTAAAAAAAAAAAGGAGGAACTCTTTAAATTTAAAACTCATCGGTTAGTGAAGTTTGCTTACGGGAGCATCCGGACTTCACGAAGTAGTCGAGTCCGACCACTTCTAGGTTATCCTCCTCAGCTTCCTGCTGCAGTGCACCACAGGAGGTGTCTTGAGCCGCCACCATGCTACGGATCTCTTCGTCTGAAGAATCGATATCACCATCAGGGAAATGTGTCCCCCTCCTCTGAGCCGGTCTGTGGTTTGTTGTTGCTTCAACACTGTTGTTGGTGGACTGACGAGCCTCAGTGTGATCGACAGAGTCCACAGGATGCTTTAATCTGAGAGGAGAACAAGGAGGAGACGGGCTGAAGAGGGACAAAAACATCGGGGGTAGGTTTCTAGATCTTAAAACTCAAGTTCTTTCTGTGACGTTAAATACTCTCAGCTGTTCACAGAGTAAAAAACTTCTTACAGCACATACCATCAGTGTAATCATGAATACAGTCGAGCTAATTTTACAGTAAATTCTTTGTAATTAAGCTGGATCTCTCAGGTACTGCCTGTCCTGCCTCCTGAGACCCCCCCATCCCGTCAGACCACTGCATCACAGTGCAGCCCCCCTTTGAAAAAATAGGAAATCTCAAAAACCAGTGGGAACTTCTAATAAACTAAATCCTGTGAGATCTTTTGGAGAACCAGAAGAATTGTAGATACCATTAGAAAAAATGCAGAGAAGCTAACTGGAAGAATCCCTGAACATATCTAAATCCAGAAACTGTGGGGGGCCCTTTAGAAATCCTGACACTAGCAGGTGTTGATTCTTTTGGACTCGTAGAAAAGAAAGATCTTCGAGTACAATCAGAACAGGTTTTTGGAACTATTAGTTCAGAGTGTAAGCAGCAGAAACCATTCACTTTGTTACCTGCTCCTGCCCAAAGCATTATGGGAGTTGACGGTGTCAGTCCGGCTCTTCTTGGGTCTCGATGGCTCAAACGGAGGGAACTCTCCCCGCCTCTTCTTGCTGATGTCATCGTCCCCTCCCTGTAGTTCCCAGGTGAGCTGGCTGACAGGTGTGGATTGATCCTCGGTGTTCCGGTCCAGCTTGCGGATGTTGTGGGTGTATTTTGAAGGGTCGTATTTCAGGGTTCGAGCTCTGCTGCCTTTCTTACATTGGAGCTGCATGACGGGGAGGACTCTGCCGAATTTACTGACCACCCAGTCCTGAAACCAAACGACACAGAGGACTGATTACACCTCCATCCCCACATAGCTGACGTTGGTTTTGGTGTTCTTCCTGAAACATAAAGCAGAAGATAAATATACCTGGTGTCCTGGTACTTCTGTCCCCGGCACTGCGGCCTTCATGGTGAAGTTCTCCACGCCGGCTTTACTCAGCGAGTCCAACATCTTCTGTCTCTTGTCCTCGGTTTCACGAGGCTGCAGGCGCTGCTCCTCTGCCGCCTGCCTCTCCTCAGCCAGTCTGAGAAAACAACAACAAACACACACAAACATGGATCAGATGAAATCTATCATCATCAATAATCAGAGGGGGGTTCATGAAGGTGGAAATATTTTTCTTACTATACTCTCTGAAGCCAAAAAGAGAACCACTGTCAGTAAGAACCACTGGAGTCTTTTCAAAAATAAAAGAGGCTTGGACCCTTTGAAAGGTGTTATCCTAAAGAACAACAAGTCTGTTTCCAGAAATAAAGAACTTCTTCATATTTCAAAAATCATCACATGTATCTTTTTTTCTTTCTTTTTTAACCAGACATCATTTTGTAAATCAAGAGAAATGTTTAATCATTGCTCATACGGTTAATAACAGTCAATGACAAAAATATCTTCCCTTCAGGGTTTGATGCTGATTTGAACCTAACACCATTACTGTACAGGCTGACATAAAACATTGTAGAATCATCCTTAATGTATTTGAATTTCAAACACACATGCTCCTTTGGTTTTTAGCTAGAACATACGAGCAGCTATCTTGACAATCCATGAACAAATTTAGTCTTCTGTGGACAAAAATATTACCTGTTCTCCGGTTGCTTTATTTTATTGTGTTACATTTTATTGAAAATATCATGTTAGCATGCGAGACTCTAACAAAAACTGCAAATCCTATATTTTCCAAAGGTTTATTTTTGGTCTTTTATACTTTTATTTCAGAAACAGGACAGGGGTTAGAGAGTGGGGGATGACATGTGGGAAAGGAGCCACAGGTCGGATTGGAACCTGGACCGCCTGCTTGAAGGACTACAGCCTCCGTACATGGGGCATGCTCTCTAACCAATAGGCTACCCGCGCCCCATGATATGCAGTTTTAAAGAAAAAGAAATCAAGAAAATAATAGGAGGTTCCTTTGACACTGACGTCTTAGATGTCACTCAACCTGAAATTAAATCCCTTCTCTTACAGCTAATTGATTTCTTTGTTTATATTTTAATGAATCTGACTTTCATGATGAGGTGAACACAACTGTACCTGTGAAGAAAACTCTCCTTGGCTGTTTCAATCTGCAGAGTTCCTCCTTTCCATTTGGATTTGTTCAGCACCGTCATACCTGCAGAGGAAACTCACAGTGATCACTCAGTGATGACACAACCCGGTCTTACTTTAATAATCAGTTCTTGCAAATACAAGGAAGTGAACACTATCAAATTTGAGTATTTTCATGAACCAGAATCAAGCAGAGAATTTGCTCTTTCTTTTTATTTCAGGATACTGGCACTCAAGAAGAGCAACAAAAATGTGATGAAATGTTAAATCTCCAAAAATAGAATGAGTTTTCCCCTGAGCTGATGAATGCCATACATTCAGCTAATGTCTCTGACCGAGAATCGAGAAGAAAATCGGTTCAGTAAAACTCATGAAGTTCACTCACATTTCTTCAGGTCAGCATCTGAAATGTCGATGTTTATGTAGCCGAAAGTTTTATAAGGAACACCTGCAGGAGAACAACCAAAATCAGAACACATGCAGGGCACTGAGGAGATCTCCAAAAACATGACTTATATCTGAGGCAACCAAAGAACTAGACGCTTAGCTGTCTGAGATTTGTGAGTCAAATTAGATTAAGATCTGAAAATATATTAATCATAAAGCACACAAAGATAATTACATGAAGAATAATCTATAATGCCCACAGCTGGCAGAGTTTGTTTTGGATGGCTCACCTTCATCGTCCCTCCTGGTCCGGAGCTCCACATCTTCCACATCCCCAAACTTTCCAAATCGATCCTTCAGATCCTTCTCGGTGATCGTGTGGCTCAACCCTCCAACGTACAGCCGCCGCATTGTCCTGTTACCACGACAATGTGGTCTGCATGATGAACAAACAAACACCAGGGTCAGTCATCTAACTTTCTATACATTCTTACACCAAGCAATAAACCATGAACTGTCTGTTATGACTGTATTTTAAAACGGGATGTTTTTATCCATTTCCTATATAAATATTTTTCTCTGAGTTGAGATACATATTTATTTTCCCCTTTACTTGTAGAATTTAATTTGACAGTTATGCTTCAAAATACCTAGACAACATTATCATTATACATTATCTAATTAATCAATAATTCATTTCTATATATTTACAGTATCCCAAAGCTGTGGCAGCATTAGAAATATGACTTGTATATCAGAATAGGTTGTTCCTCGCTATCAGTCACTCTTTATTGATAAAATCCTTTAAAGTGTAAAGAAGAAACCGACTGGATGCAGCCGCTCTAAAAAAAAAAAAAAAAAAAGCATCATAAACCAGGAATCTGGAGCCACACACGTAGTAAAATCTTGCATGCCCATCAGTGCGGATACCTTTTCCTGTTGGTAAGTTAGCATTCTGTTTAGACACACAACAACATAGGCTACATCAAACCTCTGTTTCATACAGTTGCAAGAAAAAGTATGTGAACCCTTTGGAATTTCCTAGTTTTCTGATTAAATTCTACCCTGCACTGTGAATGTTTACATGTTGTCTTCAACAAAAACATGAAAACATATAATTGTTTGTGTGGTATTACTTTAAGCAGACTGTGTTTGTCTATTGTTGAGACTTAGATGAAGATCAGAACACATTTTATGACCAATTTAATCAGAAAACTAAGAAATTCCAAAGGGTTCACATACTTTTCCTTGCAACTGTATGTCTGCCTGTTTTAATTCTAGTGTCCCATATCAGCCTCCTAACAACAACGTAATAAAAACTAATTGCACACACAAAAAACACCTTTAAAATCCTCTGCGAGGCAACCTGAAAGCACACTTCACTCTGCAGTCTAGTGCAAATTCAATTCAGTCTTAAAGTGTACCAAGACAGGCAATAAAGCACCACAGAGATACATCAACACAACTCTTTAGCAGTCTAAACAAAAGCTGAACAGTGTTTGTAACTCCACGAGGAAAGATGTCATTGCAGTGATACCCTCATTGAATTTAAACAAGACAAGGCAGCATGATAAAGTTGACATGATCACAATTAAACACACTAAGGTTCCTTCTCTGAATCTCTGGACGAACTTAAACAGCGGCAAACAAAGCCTAAATAAACCCGGTGTCCACGTTAATTCACGTGTAACTCTGCTGGTAGAGTTATTACGGACAAACAACACGAATTACATTTATCGAAAGAAGCACCAACAAATGTTTACCTCACATGTATCGAGCCTGTGTTACCGTTAACTCCGTCCGGTGCTGCCAGCCGTCCCACGTTTCCTTCCGCGTTTGTTTCCGTAGAACCAACAAGGTTCCGACGCGGTTTGGACGAGCAAAAAATTAGGCCAGAAAGGGACATTTTGATGTATAAATATCTTGATTGATGCCTGTTTTGTGATTTTCATAGGAATTATTACTTGACCCGTGATTAGCTCCAAAACGCATCAGTAATCATAAGACTGAAGTACATATTTTTTGTACGTAACCATCTAACTGAGTTAAATGGAAAGGGGGGGGGGAGCGGTTACGATTTCAAGCTCGGGCTTCTCTAGCTCAAGTTACGTTTTGTTTACAACACAGCGCTTTTATAAATTTATACGCTCTATAAGTCCAAAAAATTGCGGTATATGTCTTTATTGACAGGCAGATTGTCTGATACTTTTATATAAAATATGTCCCCCCCCCCCCTCTGTAACACGTAAAGTGGTAGAGTCCAGAGGGCGCGAGGCTCCGAACTGTTTTGGTTGTCAGGGTGAGGAAGACATTCAGACAGCTGTGCGCTACAATAAAAAAACACTTCATGAATGTACTAACACCCTGTTATCCTACTATATTTGTTACTTTCCTCCTTAATGTTAGTATATCTAGTACTTTGAAGCAACTTTTCTTGAAATAAACGGACGAATAACTACAACAGAATCGGTAAGTGAACGTAAAACACCACAGCCAAATTCATTTTAGCTATCTTAATTTACTGCTATCTGTCAGAAACACTCTGAAGAGGAGGAAGGGAATTAGTTCATAAAAATGATGGAAATACGACAATTTAAATGTTTTCTACCCTTATTTCAGAGATGCACTTTTTTCAGTTTCAATACTGATACTGAGTCTGATGTTTATTTATTTATTTTAAATGAGAATTAATTGTGTTCTTCTTGTTGTTGTTGTTGTTGTTGTTGTTATTATATGTAAGGCTAGACAAAGCTGTTGTAAACATGGCATTGCATTTCTTACTGAAAGAGCAACAAAACAAACAAATAACAATCCAAACTTTTCCAAAGCAATGTGTCTGACTTTGTTTTGACTTCACATACAAACAGGAAACAGCGACAACTATAAGGTATCAGATTAAATATTTCAAACTAAAGTGCAGGAATTGTACTTTTTGTCACATCGAAGGAGCTGTTCCATCTCGTCTTGATGGAGTCGATTTGTGAACACTTCTAATAGTTCAGTCTGAATGTCTTCAAAACCAGACTGAGAGTGCTGAGAATGTTTGAAGTGCCCAAAGATCTTTCTTGATTGGTGGATCTGTGCCGTCGGTCTCAATTTTTTTTACTGAACCAGTTTGTTTGTGTCTTTCAGGATGGATGAGATGATGAGTACGGAGAACATGGAAGAGGTGAGGGTGCTGGAGGCTCAGATTGAACGTCTTCAGGCTGAAGTTGAAGCATTGCAATGCCAACAGCAGAACAACAACAAAGACATTACGCTCCAGCTGAGAGGAAAGATGAAGGATGCCATGTGAGTTTAAATTTGAAAGTACACCCAGGTGGCAGGGGCACTTGTGTACTTTGAAATAGTAAACAGAAGTGCTGAACTTTCAAGTGAAGTAAATAAAAAAAAAATGTTGTCACTCTTCTCAGGTCATATCTGTGTGGACAGACGCAAGGAGAGTTGGAAGAGAAGGTGATGTCACAGCTTAAGGAGGAGGTGGAGGAGCTGGAGGAGGATCTGAAGCAGCAGACACAGATGAATGGCATCTGTCTGAACAGCTGCATCACAAAGACCCTGCAGAGTAAGAGCACATCACTGTCTGATTCCACAACCTCACTTATGCTTGATAAATAGCCCACTTAGCCCCTTGAAATTAGACCCTCCTGACATTACACATGTGTCTACTAGGTGGAAGTAAGGTGGTCCAACAGCTTTGTGTGTCGGGTCAATGCGCTGAGCTGGTCTTTCAGGTAGAGTTCCAGCTCTCAGAGGTGAAGGTGAGTCATTCCTTTGCTAGATAACCTACGACTCTCCCTCTGTGGTGGTTGATGTGACTTTTGGTTTTTATTCGTTCTGAATGTATTGATGCACCACAGCTAAGCCTAAATACGATCAGACAAATGCATTCAGATAATATTTCCGTCTCTAGTCTCCATTTTTATTTAATCCCGTCACAAGTCTGAAATATGCATTTCTGAAATACATCAAATTATCTCTGTTAATATTTTATTCGACTAAAATCTAGTATTTATAGATTTCTAGACTTAAAAAAGTTCTTGTAGCTTTACCTTTAATTTCTTTCCTTTTTAAACTAAGTTAATATCTGTGTGCATCTCCTAGTATCTAACCAATAACAATCAAGTAATGCATCGAATGTTTTTGGCTTTTGTAATATGGCATGCTATTTCCACTAACTCGGCTTATACAAGTATGATAACAGCTAAATGTTTTGGCAGTATTAGCTTATCCCAAATGGTCATCAAACATTTCTCAGATGACACTTTAGTGTCAATAAAATGATTATATCGACCACATCCTTAAATATGTAGATTAAGGTGTTAAACTGAATGGGAGAATGATCTACATTTCAAAGACATTAGTTGGATCTAAAGTAGGCAGAGATGAATGGGGCTGTTTGAGAAAAAGATACATTAAAGACTTCAGTTAAAGTCTATTGACTGTGTGAAAGTATATTTCACTTTATGTCAAAGGAATCGAGACTATATGAAAGCTTCACTTTTTGAAAGTGCAAATTCTGCAAATTTGTGGATTTTAATGGAAAAATAATCAGAGAGATAAGAGCCATGTTGGAAAATATGTTGTACTCTGTCAACAGGTAAAACATGAACTAGTGTTGACTATAATTGACAGAAAGGGAGCTAGTAATCTGTTCAGCCAGCAGAGGGCGACACAGGGCCATGCTAAGTAGTTCACTGACAAGGCAGCAAGTTCAAAGTTTTTTCTCAGCAGTCTTCAGCAGCTCTTAGACAGAAAACACTTAATAGTGAAGAAAAATCAATGTCAGATCCTAAGGGTAATCAACTCTGCAATCAGCCAACTGCCTGAGAGGCCGGAACGTATAATGGAAATCATGTCACTGGCAACAGTACGTTTCAGTTATATACTGTATGTCATCTCTACAAAATATTAGAAGAGAGGAGATTTACTTTGTTAATGTCTAAGGGGAAATTACACTTTTTCACTCTGTTTTTGAGGCATGCACACGCAACAGAACTATGTGCTGATGGAGACATGTCAGAGTGTCGGGGCTGCAAACAGATGAGCGCACTAAGCACTGCTTTAAAAGTGCTTTAGGTTTGACTGTCTGTCCAAAACAAGAAAAGTTAAGATATGACACATTAACTTTCTTAAATAGATGATTCATGTCACCTTTTAGTGCAAGAATAATAATACTAATTAAACGGTTCTCCAGGAGGAACTTGATATCCCTTGAAAACTCTTGACTGTTCAGCTGTTTTGATGCCTTGGTGTCACTCAAGACGGTTCACACATGAACTCCTGAAAAGTTCTAGTAAATTTCAGACAGCCTGCCCCTGAAATTATCCTGAGATCTTGTTTCCAGACACCCCTTAGAGCGTGAAGTTTTCCTTGTCAGACGGAGGAGATGGGGGATCTCAGAAGGCAAGCTATGGCGTCAGGATTTGCCTTTATATCATATATATTATTTATTCATAAAATACAGTCTAAAAGAATTCACACAATTCTGATTCAATTCAGGAACAATTGTGAGCAGATATCTGTTGCCACATTCAGCACTTGACAAGTCTTTAACACAAAAGTATTGAGGTTCAGTAAGCAGTCCTACCTTCAGGCCTTTAAGAACAACCACATGTTCCAAAACAGTTTTAACAAAATAACAGCTGACCCTTGACATGAGCCCTAATATGAAGTCAGCAGTATTTGTAACTTTATTGCTGAGATTGGGTTTAACTGTGATCTGTAGTCCTGCTTCGTGTAGGTCTTCTGGTTTTAATTCTGGAATAACCGCCAGAACAGCTGGTTTCATTGAATCATCCTGCCCTGGTTTTTGTCATTAAATTATAGTATAAATACACTTTCTTCTCATGATTAATCTTGTTTTGATACAAAAAAAACATTAATTATTTTCCAAAACAGTAATTGTGTGATCATCCACTCTTTTTTTACCCTTTAATTAGTTTGAATAATGCTTTTTGTGAGTGTGTTGTGTTAGTGTTTTTACCCATTCGAAACCAATCGCAGATGGGATTTATGGCTCCCAAAATACGGAACATTTTTCTCTTCGGCAATGAGATGGATATTTTGTGGAAACAAGCTTACTGTCTTTCTTCCTAAAAGGTTCATATGGATGTCTTTCTCATTTCTGTTTTAAGTTCTTATCTGGAGTCATCACATGACTCACGTAGCTTAGCATAAAGACGGGAAAAGGAGGGAAAAGGTGAGCCAGGCAAAGGAGAGGGGTGTTTATGGAACTGGAAATACACTTTTAGTTCTCAGTTTAGGAGGTACACCTTATTAATAAGAACATTATTTAATGTAACATAAGTCAAAACATATCACTCATCACTGCCCTGATTCTTGCCTCAAAACCTTATTTGTGTGTTTCATTGATGTGGTGTTTGTCCTGCAGGAGGGTCAGCAGTCTGAGAGGACGATCAGTGGTCTGAATGTGGTGATGGACAACAGCGATCCGCAGAATTTCAGCAGCTTCCTGTCTGGGTAAGAACTCACACTGCAGATGTTTGCCAAGCAGATATACCTTTAGGTCACGGTAATCAGGATCAGGATTTCTTAGGCTTGAAATTTAGCGTAAAGTTGAATGATTACTTTTGATAATCAAGAATTTTTAATCAAAAGACAACTTTTAGATGAAGCACTGAAGCTGATGTGTCTCTGTGAAAATGAAAATTAAGCATGAATTTACAGAGTGTTATATATGACAGTCTGGTAATGTCATATTTTATTGAAGTGGGGGACTGTACTTTTCCAGAATTATAAACCCTCTGACACATCAAGAAAACACTGAATCTATTTGGCTTAACACTACGTTGACATGATTTAAAAAAAAAGTAAATCTATTTTAAGTCTGACTAATACTGGACTTTAAAAGTACATGTAAACATGTACATTTTAAATCATTACAAGCTGAATTTCTCA